ATATCATCTTCCTTTCAATCTAGTTAAGTAGCCATCTACACATCGTCTCTGTGTCTTCTCTTATCTGCAGGATGTATCTCTTGGTAATGATTGGTTGGAACAAACAAAACCAATGGAACATTTCAGATTTGAAACACACCAGGCTAATTGAAGGTAAGATGGAAGAGTGTTTCAGGATAGTCAGACTACCCCAGTGATCCATGCTGATTCAGATTGGTCAATGGCTTTAACGCAGACAAAACAGATAACCTAATGTAGATCAGAAACATGATTCTGTGAATTGGATCCCATGCTGCTTGTTTGTAAAAAGAATAACCCAACACTTCCACTGGTAAGAACCGTTGTATTGCCTGAGCCTGCCAGTATCTTAGGTGTTAAGCGTGGAATTAAATCCTACTTTGATCTCGGAGATTAACATCTTTCCGACAGCAGATGTTACAGCTCCTCTGATACAACACTGACTCAACAAGTGTGGAAATACATTTCTACACCTTTCTCCACCAACTCACAGTGATGCTGCTTCTCCTGTTGCCCTTCTCTAGATGCTTTATTTATGACACAACTAAAGATAATATAAGTAGTAACAAACGTCTTCCCACTGCTTTATTTGTAATGCATGCCAGGGAATTTAGTATTCTACGGTATCAGTTCATGACTCAATTTCTACCTTCACATGCCACGTGTGCTTTAGAGGCAAGCCCCGAGGAAAGCAGGAGATCCCACAGCTGTTTCTGCTAAGACGTGCAAATTGGTAAAATATGGTTCCAACTAAATATAACCCGTCATTAAAATGTAAGTGTGGCATTAAGCAGGAGTTCTGTATAACCCAATAATGACCCCGCTGTGTCACAAACTCAGGATGATTTAACCGACCTGCGAGTGTGATGGAGGGAACGAACCCAATGAATGAATAATTATGCGTGATGTCACAACGGGGAGTTGTACGTTTTTTTTATGGCTTTTGGCAGAGCAGTGGCCGATAAAGAATGAAGCGTTGCAGGATAGACGTCAGTGAGTGTATCGCAATGATTTTGCCGTTCTATTTGCATGTAGTGTGCAAATATCTACACTTTTTAATCCTCAGTCACCTAACGGGCCTGTTTCTTGGTGTGGGATGTTTTTTATAGCTTCTCTCAGCAAAGTGGCATAAGGACGAGCGCCTCTCATCTCCAATGTGGAGTGAACATGGAGACTAATTCAGACTGGCAGATGGGTAGAGGGCATCCTGTAAACACCACCCAGGTCAGGGTGACATTAAAATGTCTTTCACTGACCCGCTCACTAACGAAGGGAGGCCTCACGCACACACAGTCACTTTTAGTTAACTTATACTTCTTCTCACTCCTTTTTGAACACTAGCTGTGGCACTGTTTATGTTGCTCATGCTGCTGTTGTTGTTGTTGTAAATGTCATTTTTTTGTTTTGATTTCTCTTACATGACTATGCACTGCAACATTTGTTTTGTAATTATTTATTTTACTTGTTCGAAATAAATGTAAATGTACTTTGGCAACACAGCTTTTAGACACACACACACACCTGAAGAGTTTCTAAGAAATGCTTGCAAGACATTACATTTAGCTGATGCTTTTACCCAAAGGAAATTACAATAAGTTCATTAAAGAATGAAGCTCAGAACAGCATGGTAATTGCTATATATACATATAATAATATATTATATAATATTGTTTACACTACAACCATTTTCTTTGGCAAAGGTGCAGTAAACGGGTGGTTTATCTTTCTTTGATGGAAGATGTCTCAATATCAATGGGGGGCTTGTTCCACCATTATATCCAGTATAGCACACAGATGTGTTTTTGTAGAGGGCTGGCGAGCTGATTGGACGATGGAAAGCGACGCCCATGCTGAAGTGTACGGTTTACCCATGACCCAAATGTAGTTTGTATGCAAACTGTTCAATTCACAACACGTTAATTATCATCTTTTCTTGTTCGTAGATGTTTCTTTCTCCCCTATATTGCTGTATATTCACTAAATAGGTTCAATCTTATCCCTGGTTTATGGTGACATGTATGAGTCATAAGCTCAGTCCCTTACACACGCACACAAGCTGCAGAGTCAGCGCTCCGGTGGGCTCGTCTCAGCTCTGACACTGCCCCAGCATTCTGTCAGTGGCATGTTCACGCTGACCTCAGACCAGTGAAACACAGCAGAGCAGGACTTCCTGATCAGCCAAATGTCTGCGATGCTGTGACATGGTTAGTCAGAGAGAGTCTCTTCATACGCCCACAATTCACAGCTCACACATGTCTCCGTGAGGGATTAATAACGAAGAACATCCATACCATTCATCTGTTTGCAACTTACACATTATTTATCTAATATATCGTGTTCCAATTACTTGTATATAGACTCTCCTTGCACTATTTCTATTCTATTTTTATTTGTATTTACGTGTTGCATTGTTGGAAGAGCCTGTGATCTGAGATCTGAACTGTAGCTATGTACACGTGTATGTCTTCTTCTTCTCACACAGACTAGGGCGAGATAGCATAACAAATACAACACTGGTAATGATAATGAAACCAGTTTTGACTGGATCCAAAAATGTTTAATTCCTCGTCCAACTGTGAAAAAGGCATACGGCCTCCTTTTTTGCTTTCATTTTTAATTTGTAAAAGGAGCAACCTTGCAAGCTGGGGTCATTTATAAGCTGAAAAACCACAAGCAGTGCCATTGACAACACTATTAAAAATCGGTATAACACAATCAAATACAAATATTAGCCTCCTAACCATGGTGTAATTGTGTGTCATGGTAGAGAAGTAGCAATTTATATAAATCTAGGGTTAGGTTTAGGGGTTCCCGATTGCCTGGCCTGTGTACAATTACAGAAGAATCATTGCTTTGGTCAGTTTTGTTGAGTCAAGTTTGTCGCAGACATTTTAAGCTAGCCAACGTCGCAAAGTAATTGACTTGCTTTCATCACATTTAACATGAGATAAATCCAGAGACTAAAATCTAACCTAGAGTGACGGTTGATGACCCTTTAGTTGATGAATTATTATTACATTGACCTGTGGGGCATCATAGCTCACTGTGACCACTCGCAGCGTTTTCTTTGTCCACCAGTGCATTGTGCTCCAACTCCTACATCTGAATAGGGCAGATTAATACACTTCTATTTCAATGCATATGGCTGACATGCTTTTATAGCAATGGGTATGTATCTAACTCGCCCAAGACTGCCAAAGTGGCTTTAGAAAGCATACACTTGTAAAAGGCCATTATACTCTTGGAATAAACCGATAAAGCCTTTTGAGAACCGAAAGCAATTGTTTATTACCTTCCCCTGGGAGGTTATATGTCCGGTTTGGTTTGTTGGGTTGTTTGTAAGCAGGGTTACAAATGTCAGCTTTCTTATTTGTTAAAAGGATTGGAAAACAACAAAAGGTAGATTATCATAGATAAAAAGGATGTCTGATATATAAAAAAAGGACTTTATCTATTGAGCATTGCACTCCTGTAACAACGGGAAAAAAGGGATCCAATTCAATGCAGCCTAACCTTGGTCGTACAGACTATATCTATACATAGATTATATAAAAAATGAATAAAAGTGAATCTTATTTAAATTTGACAATTTCATCTATTTAAAGGTGGGGTAGGTAAGTTTGAGAAACCGGCTCGAGATACACTTTTTGTTATATTCCATGGAATGCTCTTAACATCCCGATAGCAATGAATATCTTAAGTGCTTTGACAAAAAATCCATAAAAAATATCATCTGTGGAAGCCGTGGCGCTGTAAAAAGCACGACCTATCATCTGAGCCGGCCCGGCTAAAGTAATTGGATGGCCTACCTGCCTGTCAGCCTTCCATCTGTGCACAAACTTATCTCGTGACCTCATTGGTCATGCGCGCGTTTGTGTGTGTTGGAGGAGGGGCTCTGTAAGGAAGTGGCAGATTTTTTCCGGTTGTGTATTTTCAAATTCTAGCGCACTCGAGCTGGTTCTTCCTCAAATGACCTACCCCACCTTAAGGTAGAGTCTTCTGCAAGCAGTATAGTATTTGATCACCATCTTGAATAAGGTCTGTTTATAAGAAGAAGGACACACATCCCAATCCACTTTATTCTTATAGGACACATTAAAAACAACAGCGTGGAACAAAGTTGCCCGTTACATCAACAACTGTAAAAAAACATAGTGAGTACGTACATAAGATAAACAAGTACAGACGTGAACAAATGATGTAAATTGACGAGACCAATGAACCAGCAATCAGAAGCCAAGACTGAGACTCTCTCCTACATTGACGTACAAACAATACAAGAACACTAAGGAAGAGATATTAAACCACACACTATGTAACAGCACCAATGTAGAGCCGCTGGTCTGTAATGAAAGGGAAAAGAATGGGTTTTAAACCAGATTTAAAAACAGGCCAGAGTAGAGCAATCTCTAACCCTGGAGGGGCAAAAGCAAGCTCTCCTCGCTCTGCCTTCAACCTTAATTTTGGGACGCTACCAAGAAGTAATCGTCCAGACAGACCCCTCAACATGACACATGAGCAAATCTGATGGAAATGTGTGTCTCAGCAGATGTGGTGCGTGTGTGTGTGTCCTCCACCTGTTATGCGACCAGTGGCGACTCACGCCAGACGCGTCCCTAATCACGCTCGGCGGCAAGAAGGGCAGAAGCTAAGCCCTTCTGCTTCATTTATATTCAGAGCAGCCAACCATTAACCATTTGTCTGCACAGATTACCAATTCATATCCCCTGTTCTCTGGANTAATATTTAATATTCTGAGTCTGCAAAGTTACCAGCAACTAAGTTGTCAGATACATGTAGGGGAGTAAAACATACAGTATTGGCTTCCAAATTCTAGTGTAGTAGAAGTATTTAGTAGTATAAAATGGAAATACTCAAGTACAGGTATCTTGTGCATTTGTTACATTCCACCTGTGACTGTAATGGAGCTTTTTAAACCAGTAAAATATATTAACTAGTCTCATATATTGCTATTCTGTGTCTTACCGTACGAGGGCGTCGGGCTTGCCCAGCTGGTTGTTGGGGATGCAGTTCTCCACCGGGTCCTTCTGGCCTTTCCCCGCCCCCTTCTGTTTCTTCTCGTTCTTATTGGCCGAGGAACCTGGCGGCACGCTGCCATTTGAAGAACTGTGATTCCGAGGCGACGAGTTGGAAATGTTTCCCCCGCCTCCGCTGGCGTTTTTGTAGTTCTTCCCCGTGCTTCCCATTTCCTCTTTAGAAGCAGAGTGTGTGTTGGTTTCGGTGTGTGTGCTGTCTCCCGCCAGGTCGTTATTCAGTCTCTTTGCCCCGGCGTAGTTCTCTATGTACTCTGTCTCCTGTACTTTGGAGTCCAGTGCGTGTACAATACTGTTGTTATTGATTCCCACTGAGTTTTGTTTTTTACCCTCTTTCACTGTACTGTCTTTTCCTTTTTCCCGGTACTCCAGTTCTGGTAACGGCACTGAGGGGCTTTTCTTTGCTGGAGCTGATCCGTTTTGGGAAACGACTGCTGGTTCTACCTCGGTGATCCCTTTAGCTAACGCAGCTGGAGGAGAGCAGATATAGGGAGTGTTAGAAGACACATCAAAACTTTAACGCTCCTACTAGCTGTTACTTCTAGTGAGGCCATCCATTGATTTTGCAAGAATATTTACGTCACTATGTGCAAAAATATATACTGTTATATACCACACTTCATTCTACATTGCTACACTTATATATACACTTTGCTGTAACAATATCATTTCATTGACATTGGGAGCATATTTGAACATAAACTTAGATTGAATGATGGCCTGTTCCAGGGTGAGAACATCCTTACAGACATTTGTATTCCAGCAGGATGTTACAGCAATACTTACCGGCTTTACATTAACTAAAAAAATGTACAAAAAGCTCTTTAGTCCAGAGAAAATATCTACTCTAAGACTGCCTGAGAAGGTAAGTTTAGGTCTGGATTTATGTGTTTGTTGTTCGGAAGCAAAGCAGACCAACCACCGTATTACGTGCCAACAGATAACCCCTTGCTCCATATGCATGAGATTTACTTCTGACAGCACAACATCCATGGGCCATTTCTACTGTCTGTATTGTGATAAGGTGTGTGTGTGTGTGTGTGTGTGTGTGTGTGTGTGTGTGTGTGTGTGTGTGTGTGTGTGTGTGTGTGTGTGTGTGTGTGTGTGTGTTCTAGCATTACTATACTTGTGGGGACCTAAATCTGTTTACA